TATTTAGTATATAGCTTTTATCCTTATTACTAAATTGGATGCATCTGACTCCATGAAAAGGCGTCTCTATTTAGTCATTCTACAGGGCATTCAAATGGAGTGTAGCAAAAAAGATAAGCAAATAGCTTGCAAGTGACACTGGGGCACATGATCGGTGATCAGTTTGTTTCGGCTTTATCAGCGCCTGACGATGGCGATGACGACGACGATGACAATGTGCGCCAATGTTGCCAGATCATTCACATAACTATGCCAATATACATACGTGCGTTCCCGCAAGTCATCTGATTGACTTGGCACATAGGAAATCTCGCCGATTTAACTGCACACAGCTGCATAGCATATCAGTTGGGTCTTTGCATTTGGCCTTTCGAAGCTAATCGAGGTTTCGTCTATAGACAATTTTCGACAGCTGAAACCCATTTTAAGATCGTTTAAACATTTATGTGTGCTAGATACTTTTGAGAAAGATAAGTTAATTATATGGAGTTAATTGAAACAAGTCAAAATCTATCGGAATAGACAGCCTTTATAAGAAGGAAGATCTATAAAAAAAGATCTATATAAATGTATCTATATCAGAAATCTATGTAAGATGATCTGCATAAAAGAATATAACATGCTCTATAAGAAAATCTATATAAAAAGATTCTTTTAAGCGAACCTATATGAGACGATCGGTATAAGATGATATATACAAAATAATTTGTAAACAATTTTCTATATTATAGAAATAAATATAAAAAGATCTATGTAAAATCTTCTATACAAAAGGATTTCTATATGAGGATCTATATGAATGAGAGATACAAGACGACTTAGAAATCTATTTTCGAGAATCCTCATAAGATAGTAAGTGTAACATGTAGTTTTATATGAAAAAGATCTCTAAGAGCTTGTATAAATTGATCAATATAAGAGAATAAATTTAGAAGGCGTTACATGAAATGATCGTAATAAGTGAATCCAACAGTAAAAATGATCTGTATAAGAGAATCTATGTAACAGAGGTAAGTGGGTAAAAGAAACTCTTGATGAAAAGAAGAGAAACTTCTTGCTAAGTGTGTAATTATATATATACAGTATATATAGAGTACATAGTATAGCATATATATATTTCATATTTAATATTTGCAGCGCACTTCAGCTACCATATATATATTTTTATATGCCCACCTTTCCTATATTACTGACATATATACGTTTATATATAGAAGATATATGTATGTTTTTGTGCATAGATTCAGCGTGTTTGTCTGGCGTTTTTATGGTACCCGAAATTCGTGGGCGCTGTGTGATTTATTTGCTCACGTATTATTACTCCGGGTTTTTTTGCTCGCTTTTTATATATTCTATTTAGATGCTTTTTCATGCTGGGCTGTTTATTTGTTGTGGCTTCTGTTTTCTGTCTTCTGTTTTCTGGTTTTTCTAAAATAAAATTAGTGCTCTCAAGGTCGAGCAGCCCCTTGGCTTTTCATGTTCACTGCCGAGCTTTGGCTTTGGCATTCAAAAATAGATAATAAGACAAGAACTCTTCGCTTGTTTACCAGCTGTCCCGACTATCTCTCTAATTGATATTTTCACATTCCCCAAAAAAACAAATAGACGAAAAAAAATAACTATTCGCTGATATTTTGGTTTTGCTTTCTACGGAAATTTCGCAGCGCTTTCAAGGCTAATGGAAAAAATAATGAAACCAATTCATTAACCCGGCAATAGGCAGACCGAGAGATATATATGAAATCAAATCGAGTCTTTCCCATCCATATACATATGGAGATTCTTTCGATATCAAAGCCTGACGAAGCTATTTTATGATAGATCAGAAAAACAGATTTTATAATCTTTGAATTGCCGTCTTTATAGACTTGATCGCGTTTCAATCACATGTAAACATATATTTACTAAGATCGTATGTAACGCATATACATACAAGTATGTAGAGTGTAACTTGACAAGCTTTGCGACTGGGAAATTTAGCTACACGTGTGTCACTCGGGGGCAACAACAGCGAGCACAACAAATTGCTTACGTACTACATATACCCTAGCAAAAAAAGCTTATAAGCAATAAGGTATATAAACATAAAATGTCTTTGATTATGTATAAATACTATTGCATATCATTTTTATATAATAATAATTGCAATATCACTAATACATTATTTATAAAGGGCCTCTTAAAAATGCATTAAATTAAATAAAAAGCAGGCATTGATAGCTCTGCCAATTGTTATCGCAAAGCACATAATATCGATAGTCGATGTCGCTTAGCGGCAAGTGCAGGTATATTGTAGTTGAGACTTAAGTTATTATTAGTTGTTTTGCTAGGTATCATATTAAATAGGCACACACACATACACGCATATATAGAATTGCGCGTGGCACCAGAAAGCCCTACAAACAATACCAGCCAACAAAGTAGTCGATCAGCCACACATACATAAATCTCAACATGCATATTTTTGCTTATATACATACTTACATATGTATGTGAGTATTCAATACCTGTTCGCCAGCTGTAAGGCTTGCGCGCTCTTTCATTTGTGCTGTCCACTCTTTACAGCAATAGCATAAACAACAACAGCAAAGAAAAAACTTGTTCGCGTGTGTCGCGCTCTTGGCAGCAGCCGCACCCGTCGCACACTTGCCCTGCGCTCCTTGCTTTCCTAGCTTGCTCAGAACTGTACATACCGTATGCATGTATGTGTTTATTATCTTTTTTCTTTTATCGCAGAGAGGCACATCACAGACGAGCCCAGAAAATTGGCCAATCAGCGCGCGTTCTTAGCGAGCGCGCCCTCTATCGCACAGTTTAGCGGGCCGCGGGGGGGTTTGGCACAACTTGCTTGCTGTCAGTCCCTTGTAAATGAACGCATTGTTTTTATGCTATTTATTTAATTTACTTGTTTTTGTTTTTGTGCTTTGTTTTTGTACGCATGGTCAATTAAATTTAAAAACAAGTTGAATTTGTTGCTGCTTGAGCATGTTTTGGTTAAAATCACAGCATTGAGAACAACCTTGTAGCTGTAAATTGGCAAATTGTTACGCATACGCACAGAAATTGACATACAAAATTTAAGTTCGCTGACAATATATATAAGGCGTAAGGGCTTATAAAAATAGTAAGCTAGATGTCAATATTAATAATAGATTACGCCCTGCCCCAAAAATAGAAAATAAAAGTCGAATTAGTTAGCTGATCGAAACAATTGCAATATCATTGCTCAATCGATAGCTTTTGCAAGCATTTATTAATTTCGGAGGCCTGTTCGGTTGCTACACTCACAGCGTGCTAGCTTCCTCTTACCAATTGTTTCCAAAAATAACATGAACACAAAAAGAAATTAGTCTTAAGCAAAACCTGTTTGAAATCGACCGAAGCCTGCTGGATCGAAAAAATATTCAAAGACTACTTCCAAAAACCCATGGCAACAACAAGACAATTGATATGTGAAATATTTACACACACCCACAAATATATATATATACATACATATATATCTTTGCAACTTGCTCACCTGTTGCTGGGCCTAAAAGCAACCGAAAAAAATGTAGCTGCTGAGATACGGCAATTGCGAGTTGTCTTTTTCTTATCTGCTCGTTATCAAGGTCGTTCTCAGTATTAAAAGTATGTAAAGTAGAGCCCAGCTAGTGGGTACACATATAAATTCGACTACCGAAAGAATCTGAATTATTAATAAAGGATTTTTAATTTTATGTAAATATTATATACCAATAATAATATTATTCGATAGAGCTTAACAAATATGAATAAAAAAAATATTTGTTAAATTCAATTAACTTTTACAAATAATAGTTTTTATCCAATCATTTTATATTAAAATTATTGGAAAAAAAATGTAAATAGTTAAAAGTATATTGAAAAAAATGTACATATAGATATACTTTTTTATATCGTTGATTTTTTCTATAAATTTTCATTTTTATAAGTTTATTAATAATAAGAGTTTTAATGCACTGTCAATCAAGACGGCTAAGGGAGGCTTTACTGTCCCCGTTTCTTAATTAGCTACAGCAATCTTTAATGACATTCAATACTATATTTATTCGGATTTCTTTTATTTCTCTTCGTACAAACCAATTTTTCATTATCAATGTCAAGCGAATTGATAAGCGCTCTTTAGTCATTGTGAGAGATAGGCGTTTCATTAATGGATATATATATGTTACTATATATACACATAAATATAGCTTCGTGCTGATAAGATTTTTGCATGGGCCGCAAGATTTATATATGCAGCATAAATAGACAAATATTTACATAGTTATATACAATAAATACAATCTTATTTACAAATGTGTGCAAAATTATTGAATATTCGTAAATTATGCAACTTATTAAGAATCCGTTACATTTCAGCTGTTTTGCAAATTCAAAGAACGAAAGCATCGATAGCCTTGGCGGTTATTATCGCACTCAACTAATATATATCGGAGAACAACAAACAGTAATCGATACCACAGAGCGCTGAGAAAGTTTTCAAATGAGATGCGCTAGCTTAAAGAAATGTTTAACTCAATATATATATTTTTTTAATTAGCTAGCAACCGAGCGCTTATCATAAACAAAAGTACATTTACATATATGTATATATAAATAGGGCGTGGTGTGGCGTGTTGCTGACCAGCTACAGACAGTTATCAGCAAAAAACATTTGCAAACGTGCGCGTTTCATCTGCGTCATTCGCATTCACATTTAAAGCTGTGAAAAAGGTTCCTTAGCTGCTAGCCAAGTTGCCTAACAAGAATTTATTTGCCAAAGATCAATTTTTTTGGCGCAGGCGGTCATTGTGCTCAATTCTTCAACATCAATTAAAGCGTCGGGGCGTGACATGACGAACCGGTTGCAATTGCATCAAACTGATATCGAAAGTCGCAGACCAGTTTCTTGATAGATTAGTGAATGGCCCATTTTTATTTGGCCGACAGACATAGCAGGGGAACAACGAGAGAATGCTTTAACAACCACATATAAAATATATACATATCGGATTTTATTAAAGAAAAAATAGAGCAATGGAGGCATAGAAGGCAGTAAAATTAAGCATAAACTGTGCTAAGCCTGTTGTGTCTTCAGCAATTTCACGGACGAGGCGGCGGCGGTGGTGGCTGGGAGATGTGTGGATGGTGAATGTTTCACCTTTGAGGTGAATACATCATACCCCAGACTTATCACATTATCGTAGAAAATGCGATAATGTGTGGGTATCCAATAAAAGTTAACGAATTGTGCCACCGGCCAAACGGTCCATTCAGCTGCATACAGCTTCCACGCCTTCTCCTTGATCTCCTCCCACACCTCATGTGCCTGCTTCTTCTCCAATATACCGAGCGTCACAAAGAAAGCAGAGATATATAATGGTGAGCATATCAATTGATCTAACACAATCTTTTTGGCCACCACACGCATACTTCTGCCTGGTAGGTACTTATCCAGCAGCTGATACCAATAATGGCAGATGATACCAACGGCCACGCCGCTGGTTGCCATGTGACGAGTGCGTATGCTGCTATATTGCTCAATCTCTTTATTGTAGAGCTCCAGTTGCTGTTCGAGTATATCGCCCACGGAGCTTAGCGTTAGCGATATGCCAACATTGGTGAAAAGCAAAAATTTATTGCTGAATGCATTCCGGTGCCATTCGCGCATCTTTTGCAGTGCACCAGGTCGACTGGCACCAACGCTGGCTCCAGATCCAGTGCCGGTTGTCGCATGGCGATATATAGTATATTTACCCAGGGCGAGCAGTATGCGTAGTTTTCGACGCGGGACTTGCATGTTTTCCTTTTTCTTTATCCTTTTTTATACAGTAAATACCAAATTATTGTCAATTGCGAATTGCGTTTTGTCTGAAATTTAGCATGGTCTCCTCAAACGCAATTAGTCAGCGGATTCCATATTGTTGGGAAGGGGGCCAAGAAAGTTGTTTTCTAATTTTGAATTTTGTAAAAACGTTTGCACATCATACTCGAATTTTGATAACACACAATTTATTTACAAAATTATTGCCGAGCAGCGTGCGCTGGCTGCCGCTTACAGCAACAACAACAGCATCAACAATTGCACAATCACGTGTAGTGACAGCTGTTGACCAGGGCTGTAACAATAGTCGCACTATCGAGTGCGGTAGCTATGCGATAACATAATCAATTATATTAAAACAATTACATTTCCAGCTTGAAAGTATTGTAAAGCTTAAATTGAAAATAAACAGTTTACTTTAAAGTGCACATTAGCTTAAGTTTACCTTTTAATCGTGGCATCTCACCCATCACTTCAGCTATCTACTATCGATATCAATATTCGATAGTTGTGTGGAAGCCCTAGCAAGCATTGCAGTGTTATTGCTGCGCTGTTTTCTTTATTTTCATTTTTTTCGGATTTTATTGTCGCAGGCGTCGCAATTAACGAGTTGTATGTTCTAAGTTATAGCTAACGGCGGTTTATTGTGCTGCAGCACTCACAAACTGTAGCATTTATATTAGAATTTTGTACATTTGGAGCTACGTGGGCCAAACAGCTGTAAGTTTAGCATTAAGCATAAAGTAACAAAAGAAAAGATTTGCAGATTAGCAAAATATTTAGTAATAATAAATTTTGTATAACAACCAATTCTATATACAGTTTCAACAAACAAAGAACAGTACGCTCGCACACATACTCCCTCACTCGCAGTTTGTGTGTGTAATCAAAGGCAGGTAAACGAGAAATTTGTCAAACGCAATTATGGGTCGCATCTTTCTGGAGCATTTGGGTGGGCTAAAGCTATTCAATTGCGCCCAATGTCATACGAACTTAACGAATCGCAGCCAATTGATTAGCACACGCTTTACAGGCGCCACAGGTGAGAGATGCAGCTACCTTCTCATACTCTCATTAATGTCCTTTTTATGCTTATATTCTTCTGCAGGTCGCGCTTATTTGTTTAAGCGCGTAGTCAACCTGACATTCAGTGCCATTCAGGAGCGCGTGATGCTTACTGGACGACATATGGTGCGCGACGTAATGTGCAAGAATTGCGGCGCAAAGCTTGGCTGGATGTATGAATTTGCCACCGAGGAGACGCAAAAGTAAAAGGCACCAAATATGGCTCCCTGTATGCTTGCTTTACTGATCGTATATTTTCGTCTCTTTGGCAGGTATAAAGAGGGTCGTGTCATTCTTGAATATGCTCTAATCAATGAGGCAGAGGGTTTTCCATCCGAGGCTGGTGGCACCAGCCACTGAACAAATGAGTCCAGTAGCTCAACGGGATACAATTGTTTATGTAGCCTTTAAGTATTTAATTTAGCCGACAGGCGTTGGCTTCATATATATATTTATGTGTGTAGGTTAAATGATTTTAAAAAGATCATATTATAGATCAGCATAAATCAATAGAAGAAATGGAAGCCCCTGTCAGCGTTACTTAAACCTAGCATTAAGGCACTAGCACAGTAAGCAGTTGCCCCAAGTATAAAAATGATTTCAACGTTAAGAGGCTGAAATGATAAATGAAAACAAAATCTCGCAGCCCCCTATAATCCCCATCTCCCTTCACTTTGCTCTTTCATTTTTTTTTAACTTATAAGAAACATTTGCTGTGTCCTTTAACTCTTTTTACATGATTGAATAAAATAACAGATCTCTTATCTAATATACACAAGCAAACCAAATAACTGTAACAAGGTCTTTGGCGAAAGCCAAATTCGGTTAAAGATTACAAAAGAGAGAAAGAAAGAGAATGCGTCTATTGCGCGCGTAAGAGCGGAGCAGATATACATGGACAAGGTGTTGTCTTCTGTTGAATAAATATCAATTACCAAGATGACTTTGAAAAGTAATCCAAGGATTTTCTTAATACAATTTCTTTACTTTTTGTATTTATTTAATTGCTAGTTGCTAGGGACCATACAAATGCAAAATAGAAATGCATTTGTGCTATTTTAGCTCTGGGATTTTGTTTCTTGTTAACTCAATTACTTAGTAACTTGAACTGTGCAGCTTCTTCATTATCTTCCTCTAAAGTTTATTGGTCTTTTGAGCCATGGCTAAGGCATTCTCGTTGGCAATCATTTGGAATTCTTGGAAGCGCTGAGAGACACGTTGGTTCATCTTCAAATACTTTTCCATACAATTTAGTGAACATTTCTCCTATAAAAATAAATAAATATTCAGTTATTTATCCTCTGATCGTTTTCAGCTGTTCAATTTGTTAACTTACCTCAGAATCTTTGACATCGCGGGACGTGAAATCACGCACACAGTCCGTAAAGCACATTTCCGATAGTTTGTTGTACGACATTAGGAAATCTGAAAACTATATATATATATTTATGTGTATATACATATACACGTTGTTCAGTTACAGGTCAACAAATCTGATTCGAGCGGGCGGCTTATTCGATTGCACATTGCATCATATTGGCAGCGTGTTTATCAATCAAATGCAGCAGTTTACTCACTGTTTTCATTTGATCCTTGTCCAGCTGATCTAAGGACACAGTTTCAGGGCTTTTAGCCATTTTGTACTGTATTGTTTTATTGAAGTTTTTTGTGAGAAACCAACGAAATGTTGGACGATTAAATAATAGCAGTGAGAGAGCTCAGCTGTGCGGCACTGTCACAATACCAGGGTTGTCAATTCGATAGCATCATATTATCGTGTTCGTTTTAGTGCACGATATATCGATAGTAGGCTGCCATCTTGTTTTTTGTATTTTTTCCCTACAATCACAAATTAATTTTCTCTCTACGTAAGCGTGGTTGTGCTTGCCTGCCTGCTGCCTGCGAAAAAATATATATAAATTGTGTATACCTAGCGACGCAATTGATAGCTGGCATATAGAAATTGGCATAAAATTTAAACAAAATAAATACATAATTATAAATATATACCATGCCCCGCTATCGTGAATGGGATTTGGCCTGTAAAGTCTACGTGGGCAATCTTGGCTCGTCGGCCTCCAAATATGAGATTGAGAACGCCTTTAGTAAATATGGACCACTGCGTAATGTGTGGGTGGCACGGAATCCGCCTGGCTTCGCTTTTGTCGAATTCGAGGATCGTCGCGATGCGGAGGATGCGACACGAGGACTTGACGGCACACGCTGCTGTGGAACACGCATACGGGTCGAAATGTCCTCAGGCCGTTCACGCGAAGGACGCGGCGGTGGCGGTGGAGGAGGGGGTGGTGGAGGCGGCGGCGGCCGTCGTGGCGGACGCAGTGGCAGTGGCGGCGGCGGTGCAGCTGCTCGTGCTGGTGACGCTGGCGGACGTTATAGGTGAGTGCAATTCCGTTTTTCATCTTGCATCTCAAATTCTTTTATATACATCTAAGACACTGTATATACACGTAGACATATATATATATATATTTATATATATATATTTATGTGTGATACGCATTGCATATGAGTTGGCGAAAAAAAAAACCACAAAGAAAAAAGTATGAAAAATCGATTTGGGGCAAGCAAAAAAAAAAACGTAACTGAAAACGGGCCCGCGCCAATGTGCGTATACATACAAGAAATATTGCAGTACCGGTTGTAAAAGTGAGCACAGCGCACACATGAATACATATACACAGCCACACACAATACACTCAGATTTACAGTGTCGTGCGCATCTATTGTGTGCACCACGCGAGAATTTCGAAAGTCCGAATATCAATAATCGATAAACCAGGGTTGGACGCTCAGCTTAACAGTTGATATATTGTTTTTCTTAAGTTATTGTCCTTTAAGTACTTCATTGTAGATTTCATCCACCTCTGACCCTTTTGCTCGCTTGTTATTCAAATGCGGCCTCGCCGTTGTACAAAGATTTGTTGTGTTTTAGTAAAAATGAGAAAGAATAAAATTAAATTAAATTAAATTAAACAAATAAAACAGTAAAAATAGAATCAAATTAAAAACAATTCATCAACGATTGAGGCTCAGTTTTAATGTGGTTTCACAATCATTTTGCAGGATAAAGTCTACTTCTACTACAAGCACAACAAGAACAACAACAACAACAGCTACTACTACTACTACTAGAACTTCTACTACTCCTCCTCTTCCTTCAACAAGTACAACTACAACAAGAACAACTTCACGTCTCATAACTACAACAACAACAAGAACAACAGCTCCTGCTCCTCCTCTTACACACATTTCACCAACACCAACTACAACAACACGCCCAACCAAATTGTGCAGCTTTATGATAATTGTCGATTTCAACAAATACGATATATTCCGCTGACTGCAATAATAACACCACCACCACCACCAACAACAACAACAACAACAACTACAACTACAACAGCGACTGCAACACATCACAACAATAGCAACAAGAACACAAGCTCCTCTTCATAAGCTCTCAACAAAATTTTTGTACTTAACGTACGCATCTATTTATCAGCCGAAGGGGCAGTCCAATCACCATTCACCATCAGCAGCAACAGCTACAACCTGCATCAGCAACAACTGCAACACTGCACAACACTTCACAACACAACATAATTCATTTACATAAACTCTCTCTAACTCATCACACAAACAAACAAACATTTTCTCACACTCACACACAAATCACAAAGTGCGACGTGCCAGCAAAGCGCAATTGTGGGGCCAGTCAATCAGTCGGTCAATCAAACCATCTATCAACGGCCTTTGACTGCAGCTGTCGTCGCAACTTCACCAACAGCAACAACAACAATCTTCATACTTCATCAAAAAAAAGTTACTTTCGTACCAACAACAACGACTTATGCTCTCTCACATATATTAAATTAACACTTATCAACAACAACACCACCACCAACAACAACAACAACAGCAACCAACCAACCAACCAACAACAAGCAAGTGCAACTACTGACCCAGCCAGCAATCAAATCTAACTCCAATTACACCAACAACCAACCAATCAATCAACCAACCAACCAGTCAATCAGCCAATCAGCCAATCAATCAACCAGTCAGCCAATCAATCAATCAACGCTTTGCAACAGCCAACAACTGTAGACAACAACTTTAGACTCAACTTCAACTTGCAGTCCTACACGCGTCTTCTGCAACGCCTCTCAGCCTCAACGGGTCTGCTTCTGTCCCCACAGTATATGTATATATATATAAAGTATATAGTATACATATATATAGTATATATGTATATATATGTTTATTTATCAAAAAGTATATATATTTATATATATATATATGTTAAAATCATCTTATGCTCATCTATAAGCCAGCCTGCCACCACCAACAACCAACCAATAACTTCAACAGCAACCAACCAACAAGTACAACAACAACAACTACAACAGCTACTTCAACAACATGCAACAGCTTAGGGCTCTCTTTTTGTTAATCATCTTTTATTTTATTTGTTGTTGCTCTAGCTCCTTAGCTCATCTCAGTTTTTGCACCCCTTCCGGGTTGGCCATCCCCGCCCCCATACCTTCTACCCCTACAAAATAAAAAAAATACACCCTGCGCCGAGCATCTCTGCATCAGAAAAAGTCTATGAATCTTCAAATTCAGCTGCGCTGCGCTTCTTCACTTCAGCTTCAACTGCAACTGCAAGAACTCCTCCTGCAACAACAACAACCACCAATAATCACCAACAACAAGAACAACAACAACCACCAACCACCACCTCCGATTTATCACGTAAAGCAACTACCAAAAAAAAATTCAAAATCGAAAAAAAAAATGCAAAGCGTATGTAAAATTGCTACAAAATTATTCTTTTTAGCTAAAAAGAAGCTATCAAATTTAATATTTTAATTTTTTTAGTTTTTGTTAATATTTGGACAATACCCTTGCTGCAACGAGTCTAGTGTGCATAAGTCCGTCCGTAGGAGTAGGATATTAGCTTCTAGCCTCTGTGAACTCATCTTCCAGTGAATCAATCTTAATGAAACTTGGCATAGATGCTGCTAATTGCTGCAGTCAGCATATATGTTGAAGTTGGTTGGATCGTATCACTAAATCATCTATCAATAAGGAAGCGATGAGCAGGCTAACCGAGACAGTGTGTGCCATAAGATTTAGGAATAAGCTGAACGTACTACTTCCATGCAGTGAACACGCGCAGTATGGAATGTTAATACCAAGAAATATTATTTCATTCGTTGAAATATGAGACTTTATTGTAAATTCCAATTTTAATTAGTTCCAATTGCTGTGTGTTCACTGCATGCCTGTCTGCAAGGGTATTTGATCTTCGGCTAAGCCGCAGTTAACTGTATTTTCTATCGTTTACTTTTCATTTTCTTATGTTATCGTTTATCGTTACCGTTTAGCTAACAATCCTAGTATTTTATATTGTTTGTTTTTGTACATTGTTGTTGTTCCTCAACAGACACACACACTCACGCACACATACGCTAATTGTCTGTTATTTTTATATACGAAGAAGAGTGCGCGAATGCAGCAGCAACTGTGAAGGAACTCACTTCAGGCTAACCTTTTCTCAGCTCCTCTCAGCTGCAGCAAACGCTCTTCACGGCTCTCTCTCTCCCGCTCGCTCACTCACTCGGTGTGTGCGTGTGCGTGCGTATTTGTGTAGGCAACAGCTGCAGTAGCAATAACTAGAGCATCAACACACATGCGCACCTATTACAATAACAATCAAGCGTTGCAACTACAGCTACAACAACATCAACAACAACAAGAACAACAACTAGAACAACATTCTTCTCTCAGTCTGCTATGCTCATCCAACAAACTCAACTCAACTCAACCCAACACCACCACAGCTACTACCGTTTATGTATGTTGTTTGTTTTTGTTTTTGTTTTTGGTTTTGTTTTCACCACCAAAAGAGGAAACGACCAGCCAAATGCCCCCTGCCAAGTAGCATTCTATCTCTCTCTCTCTCAGCTCAGCTCAGGTCAGCTCAACGCAGCGCCACGGCCAACAAACAAACTGCGAGAGCATCACGAAAACCAACCACCAACCAACCAACCAACCACCAACTCCTCTCAGAGCTTCTCCATAGAATATCAGTAAACAAAACTCAAACTGAGAAATGGAGGCTCAGTTTTTCAGCATTGTTAATAAAAAAAAACAATTTTGATGTATCAAACTGCTTGTTTTAAAAATCTATTTAATTTGTATTTTTCTCTCTCTTTCTCTTCTCTTCTTTGTCTCTTTCTCTCTCTATATATATATATATCGTATCACTCACTCTCACTCATGCGCTCCTGCCGTGTGTCTGCTTGAAACATATGAAAAACCACCAAAAAAAAAAACATCCCTCCCCCTAACCAACCCAATCCGCCCACCCACCACAACCACCAATCTAATTACAGGTCACGCTCCCCGAGACGCTCTCGCACCCGCAGTCGCAGCTTCTCACGTGATCGACGCAGCCGCTCGGACTCAAGGGATCGTCACTAGGTGAAGCCACGCAGCCAACCAGCAGCAGCAGCAGCAACAACAACAAGCAGCAGCGGCAGCGACAGCAGCAGCAGCAGCAGCAGCTCATAAGACAGTTCTACACACATATATATATACGCACTCACTCAGTCACACACACACAAACACAGACACACAAATACAAATGTCCTATCGTAGCCAGAGTTCTTTTTTTTTTTTTTTTTTTTTTTGTGTTGGTTTCTATATAAAAATAGAATTGTGAATTTTGGACAGCTACTCACAAAAGAAAAAAAAGAATACGAAAACAAACAAATACCAAATAAGAAGAAAAAAAGTTAAAAAAAAAAAAATAAAATCATAAATATGAAATTATATATATAATAAATTCAAGAACCAGTTTGTTGCTGCGTATTTAGCTAATAAGTGCATAGAGATTAAAGAGAGAAAACAAGCGACAGGCAACAATTACACACGCACACGCAACACACACCTACACAACACACACACACACAGACAGACAGACAGACATCGTCAACAGCAATGGGGAGCGGAAGGTACGAGTATTTTGTGAATGTTTCTTTAATTATATTATTTTCACATGTTTTTTTCGTAATCGACACAAATTGTAAAAATAAAAGATGAAATAAGACAATTTAAGGTGAACATAATAAAAAAGAAAGAAAAAAACAAAAATAAAAATAAAATATAAGAAAAAGTAAAAGTTTTTTAATTAGTTGTCTACAAATGACAATCTCACTTTACAGAATTGGAGTTAAACAAAGAAATTTTGGGAAAGATCTGAAAATACTCAGCGAATTGTGCTCTATGCTACCAAAAAGTCAACTCAGATGCAGACTAAGCCAGAAGATGAACCAAACTGTGAACTGGAACTGAGGAAAGTAATTTGAAGAGCTTACGATGGTATAAACTATAGACTATATAGCATAGCAGATCAAATGTTATATCATAGCAGATCAGATGCTATATCATAGCAGATCGATCAGTGCTATATCATAGCAGATCGATCAGTGCTATATCATAGCAGATCAGAAGCTGTATCAAAGCAGATCAGATGCTATATCATAGCAGATCGATCAGTGCTATATCATAGCAGATCAGATGCTATATCAAAGCAGATCAGATGCTATATCATAGCAGATCAGCAGAAACTATAAGCCTCTATATAGACGATCAGAAAAACAACATTCGATATTTTGTATACGTATATTTAGGCAACTTAACTGTATTGATATATGGATATATTGTAAATTGATTAGTTGATATAGATGTGGTTTTCGATTAGAGAGTATGTGCTATGAGTGCTGAGTACAATTTGACCATGAATCGGGCCGAATACACAGATAAGCTTCGCATACTTTTGGGCGCAATAAATGACCAGAAAAAAAAACAATTTCGAATTTTAAACGCCAATTGTATTTGTATATATATATATATAATATTAATAATAATTGATCAACAATAACACAATCGATAACATTTAGCTGGGGTATTTAAGTTGTATATTGTATATCCACGTCTGATCGATATACATCTATGTATATATATGTATATAGTACTAAGAATATCATATTGAATGCAACATAGCAAACAAACGAACAAATATTATTGTCAAATATGTGCCTCAATTCTAAATCAAAAACCATAAACATATGGCCAATATATATATATATATATATATATATATATATATATAGATAAACATTTATCTTCGAACTCCTAAACATACGCTAGATGCAAGACATTATATAAATGGGGTTTGCTTTTCACTAAGTTTTCTTTTCGTTTTATTATGTTAAATTTTAAAATTTTGAAAAAAAAAATGGATAGGTCAACTATGCACATCCTACTTGTACTTCTTCATGAAATCAGTATGAAATACGCGGAACTTTTCCATCATTTCCGTCAATACATCCGTTTGTGGTAAAATGGTACTGCGGAAGTGGAAGGTGCCGGGCAACTGGCCAAATCCGCTGCCAGGGACAATACAAATGCCTGCAGGGAGAACGGGAGAGAAGGATTAGATGGGGTTGTTCTTTATACGATATTCACGGTTGCCAGCTCACCTGTAGTCTCAAGCAGTTCAAATGCATAAAAGACATCCGGCAGCATTTTCTTAGCCTTGGCCGCCTCGACTGCCTTGGGGGGTATCTCGATCTTGGGGAACACATACATGGCGCCCTGGACCGGATTGACCGTATAGCCCTCGAAGCTGCTTAGCGTCTTGTATACCAATTCGGCACGCTCTTTTAGCGCATTCAGCACCGCGGCCTTCTCTTTTTCGTACAGTGCATACGATGACTCGCCGGGCTTGGGTGGATTCACTAGAGCACTCATTGCGACCTGGCCAGCTGTGGTGCTGCACAGCTGGGCAGTAATCGACTTGGTGAGCACGGCCTTGACTTCGGGGCACACATTGACCACCTCCATGTAGCCGCCGCGTATGCCGCACTCGCCCAGATAGCCCTTCGAAACGGAGAGGAAGCTGACCAGCTCCTGCTGACGATGTGGTCCGCCCATCTCGTTCATTATCCTCTTGAACGAGTAGAACTTGGAGTTATTGTCATACACGTTCGCCTGGTACACTTCATCGGCCAGGATCACCAAGTTGTTGTCGTACGCAAACTTGATTATCTCCTCGATGTTGTCGCGAGTGAGCACCTGTCCGGTGGGATTACCCGGATTAATGACAACCAGCACTCGTGGGCAGCACCTCTTCTTCGCTTCATCGTACGATCGCTGCAGTTCTTTGCGATCGAGTCCCCAGCATTTGTCCTCGTCCAGGAAGTAATCGACCCTGCACATTCCCAACTCTGTGATAGTCGCCGAGTACAGTGGATACTGTGGTATGGGCACCATCACACCAGGCGCACTACCATCAATCTGGCAGCTGTGTTCGATAAAATGAGCATGGTTATTGGTGTGTGTGATTGCAACAGGTATAACTGATGGAGATGGAGTGACTTCTAGTTCAATTTACTGAACCAGTTCAATAGTTCATTTTTGAGTCGTGACTCGAGCTGCGAGTATGCAGAGTAATCAGAGTAATTAATGAATAACAAATCGTGCATAATTCATTGAACGACTGAACAGTTCACTCGTTCACTAGTTCAGTAGTTCACTAGTTCATTTTAAAGAACTGTCCTATTGAATATATTCATATGCTGAAGTAATCGATCTTGCCTTTATAAATCTGCTAATCATTTTGAACTAGTTCAAACTGGTTTAATATACTTCTTTCTCAAAAACAGTTCCAAGCTTGACTTTGCTTTAAGTTTTATAGAAACTTCTATAATTAAGCACAGAAAGCTCTAGTTCCTTTAAATGCTATTTTGGAACTAGTTCATAGGTGCTAACAAATATGTATAAAACTAAAAAATTTAAGATTAGTTCATTTAAACTTTGCCTTGGAACTAGCCATTTTTAACTTCTGGAACTTGTTCACATTTGCTACAAAAAACGTAAGTTTCTTAACATAGGATAAGCGTTCACATTAATACAGCACTGAAACTGCTTAGGAACAAGTTCCATTAAAGACAACCAATGAACTAGTTCACGAATATTACAAAGCTTCAATGATGTTCGAATGAACTGCGATATAGAACTATGGAAGTACGTTAGCTTAACAGATTTAGAGCTTTGAAGTTTAGAGAGAATCTAAAGAACTAGTTCGATTTTATATCAGAAGTGATTTGAGCTGTGAACTGTTAGTTTTTTTAGAACTAGGCTCAACGAGATAAGTCCTATGCATACAGCTGGGAGTTTAGTGGTAATTGAACTAGTTCCAGTTCCATTTGCAACAGTGTCTACTGTGCCTACTCACTTGAGCAGGGTGAGGATACTCTTAATGGCTGGTGATGCACCGCCGGTTAAATAAATATTCTGATAATCAGCGGGCACGCCCTTATCACGGTCCTCAATGAAGGCGGCGACCTGTCGGCGAACAAACTCCATGCCCGCAGAGTCCGTATAGGAGCCCATCGAGCCTCCTGCACAGGCGGCAAGTATCTCGCAAGCACGTTCCTTCATGTCGTCCGGATAGTCGGGAGATTCCAATAGACGCGGCTCCATGGTCAAGGCCAGCAGCTGTAGCAAACGAAGCGAGTGTTCACTGTACTGTCTGACGACACAGACATACACATACATATACGTCTAGCTCAGACACTCACCTGTCTCAAGTAGGTCAAAGGCTTTTGGCCCATCGCATGGCAATCGCCAATGTTGGCTCGAATGACCCGGTCGAATGGCTTCTTGACGCCCTGCGAGAGCAACAAACCGACAGAAAAATAATTTAATAATTAACTAATAATAAATATTAACATGATTAGAGCCAACTCGCTGATTGGAACGAGGCTCTAATGTGCTTTTAATGCGCCGTCAGGCGAGTCGAATATGTTAATCGAAAAATGCAGTTTTTTTTTTCTTTTTTGGCTCGCTTTGTTTTGGCCAAATTAGTTGGCTCATTAGAAGAGGCGGCAATCAAACAGTCACGGCTAATCTCGGTTTCGAATTCAATTAAAGCCAACTAGCTCGGCCATATTATTATAGCTGCGGCTGCAAAGCAACCCAATTGCGACTCACAAGCCATAATTTAGTAGAGAGAGAGGGAGAAACGCTAATTACGCTTTGCTATAAAGACACATTGGAGAGCTTTCTGCCATAATAGAATTTCTTCTCACTCTTGCTATAAAGCGAACTTAACATCGATCATCAAAAGAAAATTTCAAACTATTTAAGCTTAAATCCGAAGAACAAGTGAAACGTTAATAACTTTTTGCCTTAAAGAAAGATTTGAATGAACTTTTTACTATAAAATATATATATATATATATATATATATATATAGATATATAAGACAAGTTTAAATCTGAAGACCAGGAGAAACGCCAAAACCCTTTTGCTATAAAGCCATTTTTGAGATGTATTGAAGTTACTATAAAGTGATAAGTAGCTATAAATTTAGCCATAACTCAAATCAAGTGAATTCCCAACGCTTCTCCCTTTTGCTATACAGCAAACTAAGAACAAAATCAGCAAAAAGCCAATATACTCGCTTTCACTCTGCGAGCGAGTATGGCCACAATTTACAACAGCTGCTAAGGCGAAGTAAAAAGCATAGTTTATTATCGTCTTAATTGAATAGGCGACTTAATGGGGTTTTGAAATGTAAACTCGAGGCGGAAGAGGCAGAGTGCAAGGCGTTAAACCGTAGACAATGCAAATGCAATAACTGTATATACATATATATGCTATATATAGTATGTGTGCATGTGCAAGCGGGGGCTTACATTATCCAAACTGGGCCATTGGGGGTCGCCGCAGAGGGCAGGGGTGGGCGCTGTACAACAGTTCGAATGAGTAATGTGAATGGAAACTGAACTGAACAGAATGTCTGGCAAATCACGAACCACAAATTAAGTCATGCATACACACACACATTCACACACACACACACACATTCACATTCATAAGTATGTTCAGAAAGAGTGTAAAACTAATGATGGGAAATGTAACGCCCGCAAAAACCACAAAAGAAATCAACAAAATGTGAACGAAATGCAAGCAAGTGAGAGGGAGAGAGACAGAGATACAAGTTAGTTAAGCACTAGTCGAAGTTTGTATACCCTTATATATACATTTGTCTAAGTAAAGGTATATCGATTTAGCTTATAAAGTTGCATAAAAATATATAGATAAATGATAAAGTCTTTGACCACTTGGTTTATATTTATAAAATTTATTTTTTTTTATATATTTGTGATTGTCATATCTTTATATATATTTTCACATTCCTACTATAAATTCTTAGCCAAATTTAGTTTTGTAAACAAGCATTCAACTTGTCACCAAAATCGTTTATAACTCTTTGCTCAAGATATCTCATATCATAAGTTATATGATATAAGATATAAGAGTATGTATGATATAAGAGTAATATGTGTTTTGGTCGAGGAGACCCATAAGCTCATGAAACAGCAAAAAGACAAGAAATAGCTGCTGATGTTGATCAAGATTATATATATATATATATATATATAAATAGATTGAAAAAACTTTTCCATCTAGCGGCTGTCGCACATACGTATATCACTCAATTTAACAACAAAGGTGTGTACAGGTGCATGGCGACCTACGTGTGTGTTAGGTACTTGGTTCAATTTGTTAACGTCTATTTGCTAATATGGCAATCGAGGCAGTTATCGCTGCTCGAAGCAAATCAACAAAAGAGGGAGAGAGAGACCTGAAATCTAAGAGAGTGAAAAATAGAGAGGGAGACAGTGATGAGTGTGGGCTAAGGGTCAAATCAAAGTCAATAAACTAAGCATATCAAGTTTAATGAGCCCAGTAAAATAAATCAAACAGGTGAAGCGAAAAACTAATATAACAATTCCTCAACTATATTCTTATTGGGAGACTGTAAATTGATTTTACAGCTCGTTCAAACACGCCAAGTTAACATACTGTTACTTAACAGCGTTAGGAAACAAATAACTGTTAAACTCACTATCAGTATTGAACACTTAAGCACTTAGCAGAGCAACATGAAGTTATTACAATTTAAGTTTATTTTGAAAAATGTTTGGCTTTTCTGCAAATACGCTGCAATTGGAGATTGCAAATAATTCCAATAACTTAACGCTGCGTACATAAAAAGATCAAAGATTTACGCATGTATAGATGTCTGTGCCTCTGTCCGTGTATGTGTGTGTTTTATAACAATGTCAAGTATTTGCTATTGACAGATGCTTCGATGCTATTTGGCAAGCTGTCAAATTGTTGGAAGTGCGAGTTTATCATAAGCAGCGAAGAGCAGTGGCTGATAAAACCCAAATGCTAATGGAAAAACAGCAGCAACAACCGCCACCGTGTAGAAGAGAAATAAAATTATGCATGAAAGAGCAAGTGATGCGAATGAGGAAGTGACCCAAGCGGCTGCAAAGGAAGGGGAAAGAGAGGAAAATGTATCAGCAGCAGCAGTAGACAGAACAAAATGTAGAAAGTCAAAATGAGAAAGAACGTAAGCTAAACAATAGATGGCATGATGACATACGGACACACACGAACACATACAGACAGACATACTTGTATGCATGTACGTATATAACTACTGCAGTTTAGCGTGCACAACGGGACATGGTGAGACAGGCGAGGAAGGGGTAAACGCATTGTCAGGTTTAGCTCATCAAATTCGAAGAGAATTTATATTGCGTTGCGCTGGAATAAAAACACAACGCAGAACGAAAATATCGCAATATGAAAGTGTGTGTGTGAGTGGGTGTATATGTTCTATAGTACACACACGCAACAATTATTTGGATGGGAAATGTGTAAAGAAGTAATGGTTATCTATTATTCATCTATTTACGTAGAAACAGTTGTACATGTGTTTATATAAATTCGCTATATTTCTCAACAGTTGTAAATTGAAGTTTCTTTTACCGAGTGCGTACTGTAGCTGTTAAGTCAAAGCTCATGCGCATGTTTGTTGCTGCTTTTTTGTTTGATAACAACGCCCTATGCAATTGGCAAACAGCATCCATATCATTCATCCCAAGAGCTCCACACCCCCAAACCCACCCTTGTTGAACTTATATAAGCGAAAATAAAGCCCCTGTGGCGCTGGCAGCAGATGCTGCCGGTGTTATGAAGGACGTTCACTGAACTTGACTTTCACGAATTGGGCACTGGTAGTAACGAAGTAGATATTAAAAAAAAATGTGGAAGGGGAATATAGACAGGGAACGAAAGCCGAAAAGCGTACGTATAATTTATAGCTTAAGCTGAACGAAATTGAAATTTAAGAGCACATAATTGAAAAAATGTGACCCCAATTACAAGTGCTACAACAAACGAGATGGAACACTGGAAACATACAATAATTAGAGTCAACTGCCAGTGGTAAATAGTTTGATAAAAAGTATTTTATGGTTCGATTGTTCAGGCTTGGAAACAATAGAGCTTATCAAATTCTAGATAAGTTTTAAAAGTAGCGATAAATATGCCATGGATGCTTGGAGTATAGTTCAAATTGTTTGATTGGAAACTGTTTTATAACTCATTTATGGTATTTTTAATTATTTAATTTATATATATTAACTACAATTAAATAAATGAGTTAACAGAAAGTAAAAGTTTTTACTTTACATTTTTGAGACTGCCATACACAAATGCCAAACATAGTTCACACATACATAAATATGTATGTAAAGCCAGCACTCAAATGAAGGGATAACAATTGCGCCAAATGCAAACAATTTATAAGTGCGAAACGAAGTGAGAGAAAATAACACCAAAACACACTAAAAAAAAAACTGCCAACGGTGGTACACGGTCGCGCGCGGTAGATGGCGTGTGTATAAGCACGCAACGTAAATTCATAGAGCATTCCAGTAAACTGGAAGGGGCGAAGCGCACTTACCTTCAACAGTTCCTTTTCAATTTCTCCAGCGCGTATGACAATCGGTCCACGCACCGCATACTCCATGGCCACATAGTTGGCATTGATGGAGTCCATGGTTAAAACCTTATCATTGCTAACGGTGGACATGTTGCTGCGAAAAAAGTGGAATAAACGGAAAAAGGAAATCAAAAATTAAAGTTCACAACAGAATGTCAAATGCAAATTCGTTCGGCTCTGCGTTCGTTTGCAAATGGACGGCATATAAAAATATATTTAAAAAAAAAAAAACAACAAAAACACGAAACAACGGGAACAGTTCAGCAAAAGAATTAATTTTTGGGACTACTAACCGAACAGGAGCGTTAAACGGTGAATGGCTACCACGCGCGTTCAATGCTTCAGCTTGACTGCTGCGTCGCGTCGCTGTCGTTGTCGTCGTCGCCGTCGTCGTAGTTGCGACTGTGGCGGTCGCTGGCTTTTGAGCGCTGTTATTGTTATGTAGCAGCGATTTCCAGCGTCGAATGGCAACGCTCGATGGCAGTTTACATTGTTGCTGCAGCTGACAGATGCGAGCCCCGCTAAGCTCCAGATGCGGCAGCCCCGACGTCACTACAACAGTGGCAGCACGCTGCAGTGTTGACGGGTTCCTTAAAAGTTGGCGACTCATTTTATTTACGGTTAATTTGGTTAACTTCTTGAAATTTTGTTACTGCAAAACCACACTATATACGGCGCTAAAAAGAGAAACAGCGAAAGAGTGAGATACATAAAAAGGTTTGAATACAAAAGTCCAATGCAAAAGCGAAAAAGCACCACCACCAAATACACATACACATACATCTGCCCCGACTTGAACGCGCGTGTGTATAAGAGCGCGCGCTTAAACTCGATTTATAAGAGTTCAAAAAGCTGGTTTGGCATTGGTATTGATATTAACCTTGCCATTGGTAAAATGTATAAACATATATATGGATATGTATGTGTATGTGTATGTATGGTTGTTTGGCTCTTTGTGTGCTATCAAACGCGATAAGCTAACCGAAATAAATTTATGGCATCGATACGCATACACACCCACAAATTTATGTGCGTAAAACCATAGCGGCTGCAATTGAATTATATGAAGAAAAAAGGCAAATAACCGGTTTTGTTGCCAAGACACAAAAAACTCCTGATAAGAGCTAATTATAAAATTCAAATTATAAGAGAAGGCAAAATCCTTGAGAGCTTTCTAGCGGACTTTGATTTGATATGCGAGCATATCGCTGTTAGTTCGCATGGTCACACTGCAGTTGCCTGCTATCGATAGCAGTCGATAATTGCGATCGGCAACAATTTTGAATTGAGTTTTGCAATCATTTTTGCAAGTAATTCAAGCAATTTTCAGTAGATTTTAGCTAAAACTTTATAGTTTTGTTTGTTATTTTCTTGCATGACAGTGGCTGTCACTTGGCCCCATTTAGATAGCACATGGATTATGTATACGATTTAATGAGCCTTTGGTGTACCATAGAGACACGTGCTCCATAGGGCGCTATCAAAATTTCATGTACTTTTGACTTTCAGTCTGAGAGACAATAAAAACGCCTTATCAGTGACGTCTTAGCTTTAGCCTTAGCCTAAGCAAATCTCAGCTTATGCTATAGATTTTATATATATATATATATATATATGTATGTATATATATGTGTGTGTGTATGTGTCTGAACATTATATATATATATATAGAACAAGGCCTTGTTGGCAATAATTTTGCACTTTGGATTCGCAAACGCGCAATTGAGACAGCTCTACGAATGTGTTTGCCAAAAAGATCATAAAGAAACAATACAATAACAGGCATAAATAATGCATAATATAGGAATGTTTGCATATCTATATATCTATATATATTAAATATCTATACACAGCCAAAAAAAAGGATGCTGAGGTCATGAGGTATTCGCCTTTTTATTGGCTACAATAAATAAAATGAATCAGAAACTCTGCTCAGATTAAGATAAAATAATTAATAATTAGATCAATAAAAATAAGGCATTTAAAAAAATTGGCAAGGTAAGCATTTATGTGCTTCAAGAGCTCATTCGACATTTTATTACACTTATAATTCTATAATAGCCTTAGGTCGGCTTGAATGTAATTCAAAAGCTCTTCTTAGCCAGCTAGTATAAACAAATGCTTAAAGCTTCTCAAAGTTTAATGTAGCTTTTTATGTCGTCTTAAAATATACCAGAGTTGCGTTGAGCTTTCATGTGCTTAAAAAGTATCTTTGAAGTTGTTTTGATTGTTCTAGTATAGAATAGGTCGAGCCTTCCTCTGCTTCAAAGTCTAATTGAATCTGATTAACTTGTTCTTTGAGGCATCTTCAACCGAACTTTTCGGTGTATCTATACACATATGTGTGTATATTGAGTGTATAAATCAAAATATAGTAGAATAAAAGAAAAAGTTAATATAATCAATATGCTGTTATCAAAAACATCAGTTAGCACCTGCGTTCAGGTGCTAAAAGGGCGCGTCAACAAAGCGATAATATATTTATAACCCAGCATATGTCTTCACTGAGCTCTATTGTGCTCTACATGCATATAATCAATAGAATATTGAATATAATCTATTTGACTAATTGGATTGCCGATAACTTATGCAATGGCAGCTGCTCCAATTGCAATATTCCAATGGGAGTCCAACTATGCAAATGGCATTCGGCGCTAATAAGATAAGATATGAATTGTATTTAATTAAGCCACAGTACGGAGAACAAAATAAATATGAAAAAATTAATAAAGGCAGGTGCAAAAAAAGCGGCAAATTAATTGCACAGTTTGTCAAATATTTAGCTGGAAAAACGATTCCCGATTGACACATCAGCTAACCTAATTGGAATCCAGCTGTTGCGTTTGTTTGCTGCTCTGCTGATTGGGAAAATTGTTGCGAATTGCGGCGTTTCGCACGCAATCCAATTGGGAGCAACACGCAAAACGGTAAATTGAATCAAAGGCTATAATTTATGACCATTTTACCGTTGTCGCACTTAACCTCAAGGTTTGCTTGTTCTAATTTATTTACTTTGTGCATCTGTGTGCGTATGTGTGTGTGCGTGCATGCTAGTTTGTGTGCAATTAGATCAAGAGCAGAGTGCATAGCGTGCACTTTTGATGAAATCGATTTTTGCACTTGCAATTGGGTATACTCACCTGGTCCAATTGTAAAATGTACGTCGGATGACGCTCGATTATCTAATTGGTAGAAAACACGACCGCTGCTGCTGCTGTGTGGTTGTCAACTGGTGCTGATTTTTAATCCGTTTGTTTGTTGTGATTTTGCGTTCTGCCCATGCAAGAAATCAAATTGATTACATACGCATATACATGTGTATGTTCGCATATATATATAAGCGAAAAATTATTAATAAACTTATCTGCGCATATTTCTATGTGTACATACCCTACTCACAGTAAAATTTCGTAAATATATTCTCCAAAGTGTGTGTGTGTATGCATGTATGTGGGAAGCTCAGCAAAATAGCGCCAGTGTGTTCATATGTTTTGAATTTGGACTACGAAATAAAAACAGCTGTTTGTCGACTGTAGCGACAGTATTTCGATAGCTTGGCATCACCTCGCCGCCTCCTATGATAGTGTTGCTAAACAGTTTTCTGACTTATCCAACACCTTAAATCTATCGATAATTATGCGTTTCACATATCGTTCATCTATAGCTAATAGCACACATCACCAGCGTTCACATTTGTTGTTGTTTCGCCGGAGTTCGGACGTGTATTTGTTTAAATGCGGGTGTGCTGCGTCAGAACGAAATCTAAATTTATTCAAGTCCAACTTATTAATATATATAGTTGTTAATTGTATATCAATTGTATTGTGGAGGAGCTCACATGAGTGGACTCTGCTGGCCAACCGAACGTATCGCCGTGCATTAATATATATATACAAAAAAAAAAAGAAAATTAAATAATATCAAAGTGAATTTTCTGGCTAACGCAATGCATAGTATTTAATGCCTATGTAAATAAAAGTGCAACGCCAGTATCTGCGACAGTTTACATTTCCAACAAACACACACACACGCACACACAGAGATACACATACACACTTTTACGCACTGGTAACAGGGCTGTTTGGGCAAACACACAAGCACTGGGCTGACATACAGGACAAAATCAAGAAGGCAACAACAAGCGTGCGATAGTTCTGTTTTTTTGGTTTTTTTTTTTTTTTTTTTTTTTGTTATATTTTGCACGTGAGTGCGAGCGAGTGCGTGTGTCCGTGCGTGTGTCAGTGCGAAAGAGTGCAAGTACTTTCGCCCAATAAAAATGGCTCCAGCTCTGAGTAAATTAGCGCAGAACCAAAGCGCAATTGTTGGCGCGGCGGGCATGACGGCAGCTCTATGGATAATCGCATATGGCAAAATATCCAATAACAAGAGGTAAGCTATACATGAACATTGGGCAAGGTCTTGGCTGCACTACGAAAGTGTCTGACATTGAATGAAACATTTTTAATTTGATTTTTTTAATATGCGCCGTGACAGCCAGTGCTGGCAGAATTTGAAGGGCAAAAAGGCTAAAACTTAACCAAAAACTAGCCAAATATAATTAAATGAAAATTTGAATAGTTAAAAATGGTTTCTTTTACTGCTTTACCTTTCATTATTATAAGATTTTTATATATTAAAATTAAACATGTCACTTCTCTTCTGAAATTATTACAAAATAAGTAAGCTAGAAAATAGTCAAATATGTCAGCACTAGCCGCACTTGATGTGACGTTTGCTTGAGTTTGTGTGCGTGTTGGATCGTACGATGCGACTCTTAGGCACAGTCTCTAGCTCCCAACTGGTTTTTTCTGTTGGCCCATTTTGCAGCGCTTCTGTCCAAGGACGTCAGCAGCTATGTCGAACACGATTGCTTCACAGCTGATCGAGTGCGCGTAATTGCTGTAATTGCTGTTCCCTTTTGTGCTTGTCTTCTTCTTGTACAATGCTACTAAAGATGGACCTTTTGCTCGTGTCATCTCTATTTATCAGTAGCAACATAGTACTTATTTATATATGTATACAATTTGGGCATTTTCTTCTTTTCTTTTTTCTTAGATCGTATATATTTATTGCGCTAATTTTGTTATATGTATGTACATGTGTGTATGTTATCGAAGTCAACGTTTTCTGAAGGGGCTTACTTCATGCAAGTTTCACGTGTTGCCAAGTGGAAAGGTCGATATATATATATATAAAAATGTATGTCCACATATATGTATTTATAGTCATTTTGAATTGCACCTATTAGTGCCATTAGTGATATCTAATCTTCAGGTGTGCCAAACCCCGGCACTCGCCACGTCTGAGTGGCTGTTGTTAAAGGAGACGTTGAGCTAACTCGCTACACGTTTTCCACTAAATGTAGATATAGGTATCTATGTATATGTAACTATTTATATATGGAACAATATGTAAAAAGCTTTTGGCCTAATAAATTGAAATTGTGATCGCATTTTGCTTGCATGACGTTTACAATTAACTTAAGTAGTTGCTTAGGTCTGGAATGAGGGAATTCATATTTGTATAGATAATATTCATCGTAACATTTATCGATATGTGATATCTGTAAATACATATATCTATGTATGTATGTGTGTATGAGGTTCTATTGGTTCTGTCAATAAAAGTCTGCAATAGTAAAAGGATTAAAATATTTAGGTTGGTTTGGGTTGGGTTTTGTTTGTGTTAGCTTCTTATCTAAGCAATTAGTCATGAAAATATTAATGTTAAACAACATTTACTAATTACTTTTTGCTTAACTACTTTTTATTATTCATATATTAAAATATATATTTGGATGTTTATAATATTATAATTGTTTGATTATTGATTATATAACTCAGTTTAGCCAATTTTCTTGCAGTCGATATCGATAAATATTTATATGCATTTTATTCAAACTGCTGCCACTTGTGACATTTACCGTTAATTAACTGCGCTTCAACCTGTAGCTTTAAATCGACCTTCATCCTCTGCCCATTCTCTTCTGACACATTTGCACATTCGATTTGCATTGGGCATTTTTTTCTAATATAAAATAGCATTTTATGCAAATCGATGTGCAAAAGTGCAACAACTTTGACATATTGTTGCGGCGGCGGCGGCAGCAGCAGTGAAAATCCAATCAAAGTAAATATAAACACACACACACATGAATGTCTTTATACACTTTTGCAAAGCGCAGCCAATTGCCGGCCTCACTTTGTTTACATTTCTCAATTTGCATGCGAGTGTGTGTGTGTGTATGCTTGTTTTGCACTAGCACAATACGAAGAAGGAGGAAATGGAGAGCACCGGCCACCAATGAGTATCATAATTTAAAGATAAATTACATGTGTGTGTGTTTGCAGACGTAATAAGCATTACATTGCATTGCGTCTTGAGAAACAGCGAAATTGAAAAAGAGAGAGAGCGAGTTGTCAAATGTACATGCTCTTATACTTAACACGCGCTAGCGCTTGCCAGAAGTTACACTCTGGTTGTCAAGAGCATTCGAAATAAAATCAAATTCTAATTAATGTGTATTTGATATAGCTAACTGTTTATCTAAATAAAGAGAAAGTAGTAAATTAAGTTGTTAATTTTGTTTGTAAAGGAGCAAAGTAAACATAAATGTGCATTCATATTTCGCAATATGTACAAAGTGATGAGTGATGTATGTATGTTTGTGTGTAGTTACCGTTCACATTTGACTGTTCCGTCTTTATATTTCGCACACACGCCAGAATGAATGTTAATTTTTGTTTATTTCTGCCAGGCATTCTACAGGTATATACATATGAACATACATATATATAACTTTTTTTCTCGCGTTGCCGGCTGTTGCGCAATATACAAATACAAATGGTAAAAAGCGCGCTCATTCATAGAGCACTTACATGCACACGCATTCGACGCATTCAAAAACTTTTTGTTTGAGAAATTTGCATAATTCAAAGTGCCTGACACATGCACCTGTTGGCGCACTTAATTTCGCTTTTAAATTGTGCTAAGCGTTAAATATAACTAATTAGAATGTATTCAACTGTGTATGAGTATGTGTGTAGACAGAAGAATAAGCAAATGCGAAAAAACGTTTATCAAATGTATATATGGTATATACATATATTAGATATTTATGCCCATATATTCATATATGCATATAGATGAGACATGATGTCTGAACTTTGTACTCACAGAAAAAGTTGCCGTTACCAATCTATCCATGTTTCACACAAATACACTCGCACACTTGTATATACATATATGTATATATATATAAATGTATGCATGCATGTGTGTGTGCTAGTGTTAAGTTGTCTGTCTTGTTGCTGGTCCAACAAAGCAGAGACGGCAATAAAATACCGGCAACAAAACCTACATACGAAAATTTCTGTGTATGTGTGCGTCTTTCTCTGACGTTTCTTTTGCTTTACCTTCTTTGTTGTTGGGTTAATCAACAAATCGCTTGGCCAAACTTCAAGAGGCAAGAAATCAGTCGAAAAACCAATCGTATAAAATGAACATGCACAAATACGAAGCACACATGCACACATGCATACGTATGTATGTGTCTTTGTTTTTATCTTATAAATACAAGTGTTTTAATTTTTTATTGGGCGAATTAGTGTGCTCTTAAGTGCGGCGACTCGAATTTTTGTTGCTGCATTTGGTTTACCCTTTGCACCATGTCTTTTGGGTTTCCTGTTAACGATTGCCTGCTTAAGCAGATTAATCACAATAATTAGCGACAGCTAAATCAGCTGATAGCAACAGCAACAGCAACAGCACAAAAAGAAAATCACTCAAGATCTCAATCAGACCAGAAATATGTTATATATATCGCATTAGAGATGGGCGTTGACGCAACTATTGTCTCGATGAACCCATGTGGGAGGAGGGAAACTTTACCATAGAAAGCGACTTTATTTACACTGTAATTAAATATTTTATATGTATTTGTGTATATGTATGTATATGAACTGATTTTCAAATATCGTAGCTGCTCATGCGCTGATATTGTGCACATCTCTAGTATTAGAAGTAAATACGAGTCAACGGCATCGTTGATCATCAAATGCGATTGACCGACCTACGGACCCGAACACGTGTTACACGTCTCACCCCTTACCACACACATACAATCACGCACTCAGCAATAGCTTTAATAAAAATACAATACATATATGTGTTTGTGTGTGTAAATGCGTTGGAATTGATAGAAGTGAGCAAATCAGCAAAAACTCAACACTTGCCCCCACACAAATGAAAACAGCAACAACTATTGAAAAAGTCGAAGCAGCAGCTGAAGAAGAAGAGACATACGAAGCTAAAAAAGAATGTTGTGTCTAAAATAAATGCAAGTCATCGCCAATCATCAAATTATATGAAGCTGCCCGGTCCACACCTTCGGAAATGCGAGCAAGCGAACGAGCACGAGCACTTTGCACTTTGTCTTTTGACTGCCACCCACAGGTTCCACAATCGACGCACACGCAGCCCTCATACGCACACATACACACACTCACACACAGTCGCACACACTTAGATTCCATAATCCACAGTCCACAATTGTCACGATAAGCCGCTGCTGGCCGTTGGTCTTTCAACACCTTTTGATAAGCAGGCTTTGCACTTTGTGTTTTTATTGCCACCCACACACACGTTCCACAATCCACGCACACGCGCACATATTCCATAAATATGAAACTGTTTGACCTTTTGATCGGCTACGTTACATCCGGATCCGTGCAAAGTAATTAAGATATAAGCAAGAATTGCAAGTAAGAGTGCTCCTCCGGCTGTTCTCGGCTGCGAGATGCTCTGTAGCCATGTACTGAATAACTTTTGTTCTAGATTTACTGTCTTAATGAACTTTTCAGAGCGTAACAAAGACATACTGATATGTCTATTTAATTGTGATATTCTATATATTCTGAAGTTTGAGCAGATATTTGCGTATGGCAGATCGCTACGCCTCCTTATGAATATGAAAGTAAATCTATATATACCCATTTTTGGTGAGTTCAGGGTATAGAAACCAGTCGGTTGCAAAGTCAACGATGTAACATTCCTATATTGATTGAGTGCTGCACTAATGATAGCTCAATATCTAGGTATATATAATTATATATATATAGTATATAATTATCATAGGAACAGACCTACCTCATTCTGTGTTTTATCTTTCTGAATAACTTGATAATTCCAATGCAAAATCATTGAAGTTCAGTTCTAATGAACTTGAATAGTATATGGAATATATGTATGTATGTATGTATTGGTATGTTCCTATATTGCATAGTAAAGTACTATAATAATAGTTTTTTCAAGTGGGATAAATGATACCTGTAAGAGCTTTACAACATTTTTCTTCAGGGGGAATTCTCAGTTTTAATGAAGTAATAAACATTTTCAATATATAACTAGAATTTAGAGGGAAGCTCAGGGTGATACGACTCCAATGACACCAACATGAAATTTGAACAAACTTCTGAAGTCCATTTTAAATTTATTTTTATCTAATTCAGATTAAGAAGAAATTTCTTAAGACTTTTTAACAACATTCGAGAATTAAGAATCGCTTCAAAATTTATCAAAGCATCCATTAAAGAGCGTATGCTGAGGACAAATATTCTAAAATAATTAATGGATATCACAATTATAATGAATATGTTTTTCGTGCACAGGAAATCGGGCTATGAGGACAAAATTCAGTATACCATTTCGGAGAAAAAGGACAAAAAGTCGAGCAAGGCGCATGTGAATTCAGTATTCTTCAAACAGCTGAGGCAGCTACTGCGTAAGTGAAACCCAATGCCGAGCTCCATTTACATATCAATGGAGCATTTTAGCACTAATGCCATATGATCATCTTGTTGCCGCCTTTAGCCATACTCATACCCAGATTCTGGAGCATTGAGACGGGTCTGTTGTTGTTGATTGCCGGCGCGCTGATTGGCCGCTCCGTCAGCGACATTTGGATGATACAGAATGCGACCGTTGTGGAGAGCACCATAATACATATGAATCGGGCCAAGTTCAAGACGGCTCTGCTTAAATATCTAGCCGCTCTGCCAGCGGTAAGTGCTCCTAATTGTTCAGACTTCGAGTTCCCTCACTCTCAACTGCTTTGCAGATCTCTGTGGTTACGAACGTGCTGAAGTGGAGTCTGGGCGAGCTGAAGCTGCGTTTTCGCACAAATCTAACGCATCATTTGTACAGTCAGTACCTCAAGTAAGTAGCGCAGAAAGGATTATAGAGAAATACAGAGGAAATACGAGAAATGCAAATTATCTTGCCTGGAAATTTGCCATTGCTAATGGAGTAGCAGGCGAACCCCAGCTTCGCAGGCTTGGCAACTCAGGGTATCTGCTAGTCGGCAACTCCCGACTAGAGCAACTTGAGATATAAACTTTGAAATATAAACTTGAACTTGCTTGAACTATGTCTCATCATTTCTCGCACCAATTTTTCATAGTTGCGGCCGAAATGGTGTCCGTGAAATGAAGTTAATTGAGGCACAAATTAGAGAGCTTTCATACATCTAGACATAGATAAACATTTATATATAGCTATAGCAATTAATTGTTTAACAACTTTCCAATCAATATTATTCTATATGATCGTACTTTTCCAATATTATCATTGATTGTGGCCATGTTGAGTCAAGAGCCAGACCCAGACCGCAGGTCGAATGTCTTCTAACTCATGATCTTATGATCCTAAAGATCCTACTCTAAAGATCATATATACTTTTGCATAATTAAACTTGGGTTAGATCTATGATCCAGCAATTCGTTCTTAATGAAAGTTGTTACGATCGCTTAGAGTTTTTAGCATGTAGTTTTTACTAATAAGAAACGTACTAAATAGAGTTGTTTATATATAGAAGATATGAAAGCTAAAGCTGCTATAGATATAGACTAAATTCTTGAACTAAACTGATTCATATGAATGTATTCCTCTTAATGATTGGATCAGATAGCACCTCATTTAGATCCCTTAGTTTTCTCCCCGATTATGCCAACTCCTCAATATGTATACCTATATTTATATGTTTCTTAATCCAATCTGGTTACTGATTAACTCCTCTCTCTCTTTATTTAGTGGCTATACGTACTACAAAATGTCGAATTTGGATAACCGAATAGCAAACGCCGATCAGCTGCTGACCACGGACATAGACAAGTTCTGTGAGAGTGCCACAGATCTGTATTCGAACATCAGCAAACCGGTGCTGGATATCTTCATCTATGTCTATCGGCTGACCGTGAACCTGGGCGGAAAGACACCGTCCATACTGATGCTATATCTATTGTTTGCCGGCGTATTCCTTACACGTTTGCGCCGCCCAACGGGTCGTCTGACCGTCGAGGAGCAGAAGCTCGAGGGCGAATTCCGTTATGTGAACAGCAGGCTGATCACTAACTCCGAGGAGGTCGCCTTCTATCAGGGCAATGTCCGCGAGAAGCTGACCCTGCTGGCCAGCTACTCCAAGCTGCGCTCGCATCTGCGCAAGTTCCTCGAGTTCCGTGTCAGCATGGGCATCATCGACAACATCATTGGCAAATGTGAGTCGATTGATATAAATTATCCATTCACAAAAACGGAAAGGCAATATAAACTATTTGTGTAGTAGCTAGATGAAAGATAAACAAAGTCTTAGATGATTATATGTATATGGCAGTCAGTCGAAAGTAGATTTTGTAAGCCGTTGACTTGATCAAACTACTATATATTGCATATATGTATATAGCTGCTAAAGAATTAATGACTAATGACTAATGTCTAATGACTAATGACTAATGACTAATGACTAATGACTAATGACTAATGACTAATGACTAATGACTAATGACTAATGACTAATGACTAATGACTAATGACTAATGACTAATGACTAATGACTAATGACTAATGACTAATGACTAATGACTAATGACTAATGACTAATGACTAATGACTAATGACTAATGACTAATGACTAATGACTAATGACTAATGACTAATGACTAATGACTAATGACTAATGACTAATGACTAATGACTAATGACTAATGACTAATGACTAATGACTAATGACTAATGACTAATGACTAATGACTAATGACTAATGACTAATGACTAATGACTAATGACTAATGACTAATGACTAATGACTAATGACTAATGACTAATGACTAATGACTAATGACTAATGACTAATGACTAATGACTAATGACTAATGACTAATGACTAATGACTAATGACTAATGACTAATGACTAATGACTAATGACTAATGACTAATGACTAATGACTAATGACTAATGACTAATGACTAATGACTAATGACTAATGACTAATGACTAATGACTAATGACTAATGACTAATGACTAATGACTAATGACTAATGACTAATGACTAATGACTAATGACTAATGACTAATGACTATGACTAATGACTAATGACTAATGACTAATGACTAATGACTAATGACTAATGACTAATGACTAATGACTAATGACTAATGACTAATGACTAATGACTAATGACTAATGATTAATAATTATACAGTGAATAGCTTGAGCCTTACTATACATATATATATAAGTATATACATACATATACACACATACATTACATATTATATATTCCCTTTCAGATTTCGCATCGATTGTGGGCTTCTACGCTGTGTCGCTACCCTTCTTCTCGGAGAACCATCCGCTGCTGTCCGGGGAGAACAGCGGACAGCGCTTGCAGGCCTATTACACATACGGACGGATGCTGGTCAAGCTGGCCGAGGCAATTGGCCGGCTGGTGTTGGCCGGCCGTGAGATGTCCCGATTGGCTGGCTTTACGGCCCGCATGACGGAGCTGATTAAGGTCCTGAGCGATCTCAACAAGGGCACCTACGAGCGCACCATGGTGAATGGGAATAGCATCACGCAGAACGGCGGCGCCGATGCCACTGCCAGCAGCTTTGGTCCCAACAAGGGCATTATGTGCTTCGAGGATAACATCATACGCTTCGAGCAGGTGCCCCTGGTCACGCCCAATGGTGATATTCTGCTCAAGGAGCTCACCTTTGAAGTGGAGTGAGTTTCGAGCGCGGTTTTCCCCATCAACAACTTCATTTCATCTGGGTTTTTGCTTTTTGTTTGTAGGTCTGGCACTAATGTTCTCGTCTGCGGGCCCAATGGCTGTGGCAAGTCTTCGCTGTTCCGCATTCTCGGCGAGCTGTGGCCCACGTGGGGCGGTAAGGTCACAAAACCGTCGCGTGGCAAACTCTTCTATATTCCCCAGCGTCCGTATATGACACTGGGCAGCTTGCGCGACCAGGTAAAAGGCGTCAACTCGATATATATATTTAAATGACCACGAAAGCTTTGATCGCGATAAAGCTCCATCGCCTCAAGCTCATCTTTTTTGCATATGCTTTAAAGCTCATCAAGCTAGCTTTCTGTCTTTTTAATGCTTTCCTTTGTCTATTGCTTAGCTCTGTCTCTTTCTATCTCTTGCTCTCTCTCCCTTTCTGTCTATCGCCTTCTTCCCTCTCTCTCTACTTGTCCTTCTCTCTCTATCTATGTCTTACTCGCCCTCACATTCATACACAATTTCTTAATCTCTCACTCTCTCTCTTGTTCTCTCTGTCTATAGATCATCTATCCTCATACGCGCGACGATATGCGTCGCCTGGGCAAATCGGACGAAGATCTATTGCACTTCCTGGACATTGTACAGCTAACGTACCTGGAGCAGCGTGAAAACGGACTCGATGCGATTGAGGACTGGATCGACGTGCTCTCCGGCGGCGAGAAGCAGCGCATTGCCATGGCCCGTCTCTTCTACCACAAGCCCCAATTCGCAATACTCGACGAATGCACCAGCGCCGTGTCCGTGGATGTCGAGGGCAAGATGTACAGCTATTGCCGCGAAGCGGGCATCACGCTCTTCACGGTGTCGCATCGTAAATCGCTATGGGTGCACCATGATTACTATTTGCAATTTGATGGCCGTGGCAGCTATGAATTTGCAACCATCGATCAGGACAAGGAGCATTTTGGCTCCTAAGCGAACGGGACTCGCGCGAGGGGGGCGGGGGGCCAATTAGTCAACAGTCGGCGACAGAAACAAGCACATACACAGACACAACACACCCACACACACACATGATAGAGATGTATACATATATATATTTATATATAAACATATATTAGTTTTTACAGACATAATATGGAAATATTTAGCACATACTTTTTGATACCTACGCAATTGCATATATATATATATATATATATATATATATATATATATATATATATATATATATATATATATGTTGTTGTAATATTGTCCTAACTGTAACTTTAAACGTTTGCTAATCTATTGTTGCTGACGCTCCCGTAAAATTTTTCCACTTTTTATCGTCATTGCTTCCAAACCGCGAGCTGTACATATTGCTATAAATATACATATATACATCTAGATATATGTATATATATACATATAAACTATGATATGCAGAACGAAATTTGCAGCCATTCCAATTCTTTACATTTTGTGACTTAATTTTAGATTGTGCAAATTTTTTGTTTTACTTCCATTTAACTTTTGTACCATTGCTTCCTGTGCTGCGCTTACAAATTGTTTTTCCTTTTTTATTTTATTTTATTTTTTTTTATTAAATATATACTTATTATATATTTATATATATGTGAAATTTCGTTGCTACTTCGAGAATTCTTCCTAAACGCTTGAACAGAAGTTTCTGTTCCTGAGCAATGAAGCTGGTGTTAGTTGTTTAAGAATCTATAGTAGATGATCGAGCATCCACTATATAGCGAACATTTAGTAAATTTTATAAACACACACACGCGCACACACACATGCAAATCCCATGTATAATGCATTATCTTGTAATTTATATATTTAATATATTATCTTTCTTTTCTCCTTCCCCCCAAATAACATTATTTTTGTTTCGGTTAAATTGGAATTTGTAATGGACTGTTTCCCTACTACTTTTTTATTTTTTTTGTTTTATTTTACTTTATCATTTGCGCTACGACAACAACATCAACAACAACAATCAACTGCATTGTATTGTTAATGCTTGTTGCTGCAATTTGCATTAAAATGTATATACAAAGAAAAAAATTGAATAACAAATGAGTTTTTATTGAAACTAGCTGGAGAGAGAAAGATATGTATATATATAATCTGTGAGTATATATATATGAAAATATTGGGGTAGGGCGTGTAGTTGAATGAAAGATTTTCAATTGATCTCACTGAGTTGGTCATTGAACCTGGAACCTCCACTTAGCACATCTTTTTCTTAAAGTAATATATAATATATATACTATATCTATTGTTGCTAGTTGAGCAGCTGAGTTGAAGATCATCTTGCTTTTGCAAGATGGATCTGCCAAAAATTCTCAAAGAAAACAAAAAAAAAATTAGCTTAAATAGTATTAAATAAATTGTAATTGTTTTATACGCGCGCTTATTTCTAACTAAACACAACTTAGTCAATAGGTGGGGGCTATAAGAATTAGCCATATAATCGATATTAGCAGTAGTAAGTGTTTAGGCCTTGCGCTTGGGCTTTTTGCTCTCCATGAGGCTCATGATGGTCTTGCGCAGATCTTCTGTCTCCTTCTGCTCCATTTCGAGATTCTCGATTTGTTCCTTTCTTTCTTGGAGCTGCGTCTCTAGCACGCTGACCAGATCCTCCGCTTTCTTGCGTGCCTCGCGCTGCTCCTCGAGCGCTTTGTGCGTTTTGGCCAGCTCCGTGGTGCGCTCGTCAATGGTGCGCAGCTTCTCCTTAATATCCTGCTCATAGGCAATCACTGACTTCTTCAGCTTGTCGATACGGGAGCACTAGCAGAGGAGGAATTGTTAATGGCTAACAACTAGCAGACATTTTCTTAGCTTACGTTATCTTTGCTGAGGGCTTCCAGCTTGCTGAGCTCCTCGCTTTTGGCACTGAGATTGCTGCGCAGCTCCTCGCAGTCCCTTTGCAGGCTCGCAATCTCCGACTGCTTGACCGAAAGACGACGCTCGCTGGCCTGCAGCTGCTCGGAGGTTTCCGACCAACGTTTGAGCAAATCGCTCAGATTTGTCTTCAGCTGCGCCGCCTGCGCTTTGAGATCCTTGCACTGCGTTTGCAAGCTGTTGAGTGCAGACGATAGGAGATTAGCTACAGTTACAGTTACAGTTGCAGTTGCTCTTTAGCAGGCCACTCACCGTTCCTGGCTGATGAGCAGCTCAAAGTTTTTGGTCTGAAAGCGTTCCAGCTGCGCATTTTGCACATTTGTCAGCTGCTGGCTGTTGCACAGCTGGGCGCTGGCCTGCTCGAGACGCTGCTGCATATTGTGCGTGGCACAGTTGAGGCTGTCAATGCGATGATTATACAATTCAATCACCTGCGACACGGGCGCCGATTGCAGCTCATTGCGACGCAAGGTTTCGCCAATGCTCTCTATCAGTGAGCTCACACGCTGCGCCAGCTCCTTGTCCATGAATGTGCGATGACTTTTCAGAATGGCGCTCAAGTTGCGCCACTGCTCCGACTGCTCGCTGCTGGCACCAGGCGAGCCATTAGCACTGCTGCCGATACTGGATACATACTGCAAATCAGGAGAAAGCAGCTGAGTTAGCCGATAGTAAGGAAGTCGGGTGTTTAGAGCTCGTTTACCTTGGCGACCGCTGCTTTTGGGAAATGCTCGAATTGTGCAATTTGCAGCATGGCCGAAACCAGCTGCTCATTGCCGCTGAGCATGGCACGTGCCAGCGCATACTGCAGCTGGGGCAGCTCCAGCAGAGCGCAGCACTTGTCCCAATACGCCTTCTTGGCAATGCTGGCGAAATTGATCAGCAGCAGCAGACAGTAAATGGCCTTCTCCACCTCGGTCTGCGCGAGCGTCTGGCTGCTAAGCATTTGCGGCAACAGCGACAGAGGCGCGGCCAGTATTTTGTCAAAATAGGATTCGGATATTTTAGATAGCACCAGCTTCTCGGTCTTCGATTCGCGCAGTAGCAAGAGCAGCAACCGAAGTATGGCTGTGACATGGGCGGGCTTTGTTTCGCTGCGCTCGGCCCTGGCCATCAGCTTGACCACATTTGCCGGCTCCTTGGATATGAGTTGCAGAATTGTAGCCCGTTTACCTAGCCGCAGCAGTGAGCCGAGCAGCTCAATGGCTGCCACGCCGCAAATATCGGACTCCAGCCAGTCACACAGCAGTTCATAAAGACGTGGTGTAATGGCATCCAGGCTTATGATGCTATTATTCTCCGACAGCTGTAGTATATGGCTGATAAGCTCCAAGATTAGCTGCAGGCAGAGCTGCTGTTGTTTGCGCATATCCTCGTTCGTGTCGTCCAGCTGGCATCGCGCCTCTATTTGCTACAAAGAAAAAGAGAGAGAGAATGAGAGATTAGGCATCTATCTTACAGATAATGGATGTCCAACTCACATTCAACAGCCGTTCAATGTCCTCGCAGTAGTGTGAGTAGCTGAGCATCGCACGCTGTAGCCCGGCATGGCATTGTGCGTCTAATAGAAAGTCGACGATGTGCCGCAGTTGGGGCACATGCCAGTGCTTCAAGCAATCCTCCATGCCGGCAAATGCTGTGCGCAAGAATGTGTGCAGCTCCCGCTGCTCCAAGGCGTGCACATCCTCCGACAAGATGATGAGCATCTTATAGGCCAGCAGGCCATAGTTCTGTATGCGTTTGCTGAACCTGGAGATGTTGACGCTGCGCAGAAAGAGAAAGAGCACGACAAAGTTTTTGTAGCAGAGATTCACGAGTATCGATAGGGCAAGCTGCGCCTGCGGATCGTCGACATCTGTGGCAGTTGCGTCGCATTCCTCCACGTTGTGCAGCAGATCGACCAGATGCTCTAGCAGCACCACCAGATATGGCTCCTCCCAGCCAATGCGTATGCCATAGGTGAGATCTTGCAGCAGCAGGAGCAGTCGCTGCACTCGCTCTGGCCGCACAGTTCGCTTTAGCAAATAGCTCAACAGCGGCACAAAGCAATAATTTTGCACAATTGCCACGCGCGCCTCCAGATTGCGGCTGCAGTGCTGCAGCAAAGAGACACAGCTCCACAGCGCTTCGCTGTCACTGTCCAGGGCACTCATCAGCGCATGCAAGTCTATAAAGAATTTGGCCAGCTCCAGTTGGCCAGGCGTTGGTGCAAAGTAAACTGGTTGCACCTTGGTGCCCAGCAAGGCGATGGTGCGCTGTAGATGCACCAGCGACTCCTCTGTTTTCAGCTGATGATACGCAGACGCCTGGCTGCTAAAGTCTCGCACGTAGCTGATCGCCTGCGCAAGCGCCGCGTCCTGTGCGGGCAGCAGCATCGACTGCAAAGGCGAGTCGCCATTCTGATTGTTGTTGTTGTTGTTGTTGTAGCTGCTGCTGTTGCTATTCGTGTGGACACCATTGTGGCTGCGAACCGCACTCATATTAGTGAATTTACTCTATTTGCTTTCTATTAATTACACAAGACTCTTTTGTTTTTAGAGCAGTTTTTTTTTTCGAACGTTCTTTTCGCTTGGCGCTAGTTTTGTATCGATAGAACTAGTTCCGCTTTACAGATTGTTCTGCGGAATGTAAAAATACTAAACTTATTTGGTATTTCTTACTCCATACGTTAGCTTTGAAAAAAAAAAATCATTACTGTAAATATGCCACAAGTCTTAGGTAACAAGTAATAAATAAATAAAAAAAAATAAAGAAAAGGAAAAATATATAATTATACATGTAACTAACTCTATATATATACGTCTATGCTTGGTAACGTTTTCATGGTCATACAAATCCAAAAATAATCAGTGTAGGTACATTTTCTAATGTACATACACAGCATACATACAAAGATTAAGCATTATTTCAAATATGCTAAACGATTGCATTCAATTTATTTTTTAAAATAAATTAAAAATTTAAAAATAAATTAACTGAATGCTAAATCATAATGGTTCATGAACTGAACTAAATCGTACAATCGCAGAATCATTGAAATAACAAGCCTATCGATAAGTCACGACAGTTGGCAACGCATGTTATGTGGTTAGCGTTGCCAACGCTGTCAACTAATTATAAAACGCTCGAAATTCAAATGCCTTTAAGAATATTAGCTGTCGTTGGAAAACATACAAACGATTAATTAGCAGGCTCAGTCATATATATATATATGCCCATATGCATATATATATATATATATATATATATATATATACATTTCGCAATTGTGGCATATCTTTTTTATTTCTTGCTTTGTCAATTCCCTTGCGTATTAGGCTAATGAGTTTTGCCGTTATTTATTGCGTTTTCTGCAGACTTTTGTGAAAAGGAAAGAAAAGAAACTTAAAGTCAACCCTAAAATTTAAATCGAATCATCTCTCACACACACACGCACGCCCACACGTACACGCACACATATGCGTGCTTCAAATTTCAAATAGCATTTACAATTTAAGTTTTGTTTTTTATTCTTCTTCTTCTGCTTCTGCTTAGCTTCTTCTTCTTATGACTAAAAGTCCATGCAAAATCAAAACGCAATTCGTTGCCGGACAGCTTAGCCGCAGGCTGTGCCATAGGTGAAGGGTGTGGGTGTGCATGTATGTGTGTGTGTGTGTATTACAGACGTACGTCATGGGCACATATGCGCGCTGCTTTGTGTACAGTGAAACCAACCACAAGTGGTTACAAAAGAAGCTCACGGAACTGTCGAAAGACTTCAATCAAAAAGTCACTTCCATGAACCGAACTTTGAACAAGCGAACCAGTTGCATGAACTGATCAAACGTAGCACATATGGAACTAGTCAATTCTTTCCGTGAACTGTGAACTGCCTCAGCTCTATTTTTACTTTCATTTTGTGGGAATTACTGTTGCTTAAGTCGAGTCTTCACTGTAGTGCTGCCCTGCCCTGTGGCAAAAATTACGCATGCTTTGCACTAGACGTTCCTCTTATGTCCGAAGCTGGGGGCTGAATGGGTCTGCATGGGCGGAGTGTGACACGCGTGGGCGGTGGTAGTTGGGAGGAGGTTGGCTTAAAATGTGCGAAAGCATAAGCCTAAGCTTTTTTATCGTCTCGACCAGGAGGCCAGCAGATGAAAAATGAAAGTGGTCCACACACAAATTCAAGTGTGTATATAACTGTGTGTGTGTGTGTGTGTATGGATGGGTGTGTATATAGTTGAAAGTTTCAATATTGGCATAGGGTTAGGACTGCAGAGTGAGGAGTGCAGAGTGGAGAGGGCGTTTGACTGGCAACGAGCTCAGGCGCCTGTGCTGAGCCTCGCTTCGGCTTCGCTCTGTTTGCCAACTGGCCAAAAACGCCTACGGCACACATATGTAAATTGTATTTGTATATATGTACATATACAAACATACGTATGTGTATGTACATTATTCATGCACACATACATTGGCATTTTTAGCTCATGCTTTGAAAAATGCGTTTTATACAAACGGAAGCGGAGCTCCTGGACGCAGGACGCACAGCAGCAAAAAACCAGGATATCGTCTCTCCGCCTGTCGCTGACAAGGCAGAGGAGAAGGAGGGCGAGAGGAGGGGCGGGGGCGGGGGCGTGGAAAGATGGAGGTGCGAGGTGGGAGAGTGGCGTGCCTGTGAGTGTGGAGACATGACCGTTGAGCGGCTTTCAAGGACTTGTGTGTATATGTAAATATATTTAATCTATGAAAAATTTACATATACTATTGTATTGGATCAATATGTTGTTATTGTTGTTGTTGTTGTTGTTGTTGGCGAGGGTGTGCGCTACACAGCTGCAAAAATAGACATAAATCAGTGGTGAGCAATGGTCATTTGTGTGGTCAATTGGTCAAAACTGATATTGAGTTGGCTCATTGAGCATTGAATAGAGGGACTTGAGTGTAGACTTGAATGGAGAGTTGGTAACAGAAGTTTGGAGACCTTTCTATGATGTTGTAGAATTTGTGGAGAATTTAGTTAGAGTTGTGTAGAGGTCTCAAGTTGGTGTAGATTAATGGAGGCCTTTGTAGAGTTATGTAGAGTGAAGCACAAGTCATGTAGAGTTTGTATTTCATGTGTCGCAGTTAAAGTTATGGTAAAGAATTCCATAGAAATAAAGTGTAGAGCTGTGTAGAGTTGCAAACAATTGTGTAGACTTGGACAGAAATACAGCAAAGTACATTTTGATAGAGTGAGCTAACTATTGGAGACCAACTCTACACTGGTCTCCAATAGTGAAGTTACGCGTAAAAGTGTAGAGTTGATGCACAATATATTGGAGTTATTAAGGTGTAGACAACGCTGTGTAGATATTCAAATTAGCCAGCATAGAGTAATTCCAGTTAGTGTAGAGTACCATGCAGGGTATTCAAAGAAGTCAGCCATGCCGAGCCGGAATGCCCACCTACAACAAAATCATCGCCTTTTCTAATCTAGTTCTAGTAGTTTTCACACCCACACATACCAATTGTCACATACTCACACACGCACACTCACACACACACACGCTTGCGAATTACTTGCACAATGGAAAGTTATGGGATTAGATGGCGTGGGAGATTGGTGGAGGAATATGCCAGCTTCCTGCCCTTGGGCGTGCATGTATGTAAATGGGCTTGGACTCATTGAAAGGGCATCGCAATCGTGCAGAAAACTTTTCGCTCTCTGGGGCAGATTTGCTTTTCCTTTTTTGCTATGCAAAAATGTGCGTGTGCGTGTGTGTGTAAGTGTAAGCTGCTTTTAGGCGCTGCTTACAGCGCAAAGCGCTTTAAAAGGTTTTTCGATTCAATGGGCGAGAGAGAGAGAGAGTGAGTTAGAGGAAGGGAGGGGGAACGGACGTTAGCAGCAAACATATGCCTGCAAAAGCGCCCCCTGGCGGGCAGTTCAATTAGCTGCGTTAGCACTGTATATGAAGATCAACGGAGAATGGGAGAGAGAGAGAGAGCTTTGCAAGCTGCGTTTTAAACAGTTATACGCTAAATACTTAATACTCCTTTATGCTACTGCTCTTTGTTTACTCCTCTCTTGACCAACCTCAATTTGATTAGCTTTCCATTTCGTAGGAGAATGCAGCCAAAGAGGAACAGAACAACAACCCAACCTCGTTCAATCACACACACATACACACACACAGACTGACGAACACACGCACTCAAATGCTTGAAAGAAAAGACAATCAAGAAAACATGGACTTGAACGGTTTTTCTACCTGCCTGTCGCATTATTTTCTGATTTTCCACTGGATTAAATGCAGGAAGGTGTGCACTGAAATATCTTTGTTCTTCTTCTTCTACTTCTTCTTCTTCGTCTTCTACTACTTCTCGCATTACGAACAACAATTTTCGATTTCCATTGTTCCATGCAGCAGCAGCAGCAGTTGGCAGAGCAAAGAGCAAGAGAGAGCGAGAGAGAGAGAGAGAAAGGGAGCGCACTCATTAACTTGGCATGCAATAATAAATTACAATAATTTGACATAGCTAAAAACGGCAGGGGGAACTGAACGAGACAGTCGGGACAGCGCGACAGGCAGACGGCAACGAAACGAAATGCGCAGAAAGAAAGACAACAAAAATAAAAACTGTGATCGCTGCGCTGTCCTTGCGCTCGCTCTCACTCGCTCTCACGCGCCTGCATGCGTGCATGTGTGCGTGTGAGAGTGTGTGAGTGCAACCTGTTTAGCTGACAATGCAAATGCCTGCTGTCAGCTCACTCACACTCACCCTCTCTCTGCCTCTCCTTATCTCGCTCACTCTGTCCGCTTCGCTCTTTCGCTCTGCCTATCCTGCCGATAGCCGCCTACTTTTTTATTCTTCTCTAGTTTTCCAGTTTTCCTTTTGCCGTGCAGGAAATTGAAATCTGAAAAGTTGCCGCCGCTGTCGCCGTCGTCGTCGCCACCACCTGTAGATTTTTCCATTTTGCTGGTGCTGCGCATTCGAAATGATGTACGGCGCCTTTTAATTGGACACGGTCTGCGTGATTGCGCCTCCGGCTCGGCCACTTGCCTCTAGCTGTTGCCCTTGCCCTTGCCCCTCATGCTGACTCCGACTCTGACTCTGACTTTTACTTTGACTCTGACTTTGGCCCCCTCCCAAGGCACACAAGTGCCACAGCATGTGTGTGTGTGTGTAAGAGTGCATCGAGTACTCTCCCTCATTTATATCTTTGTATTACGTCATTTATGAAAGCGAGTTTCAAGTTCAAGTTCGTCATCATCATTATCAGCTTTATAAGCATCATTATCATATTCAGCTGAACTTTCTTCCAGCAGATTCTTAGCTATTCATTCTATTTGCTAACTATTTAGAAGTTTGTAAGGTTTGGGCTTATCATTTTGGGATCTATCGTTTATATATAGACATAGATTCCAGGGTCTATTCATTGCCAGCAAAAGAGGAGTCTGGAAAACAATTCATTGCCAGCAAAAGAGGAGTCTGGAAAACAAGTCAGAAAAGTTTTAGTCTAACCAAAGGGTTTCTGGGAACGCATAGACGTCTACACAGCTAACTAGATGGATCTATAATACTACATTTGCCCTGCTAAAGCCAGCTAGAACTGGGGAAGCTCGAACTCTCAGACGAACCTGAAGCATCTAGTT